ATACTGTTCGTTATCTCCATATCCTTTATTTTAAAGAGACACTTTTAATTTGTGACTAGGAAGATATTTTAAAATTTCTCCGCATGCTCACTTTTTTTTTTTACCTTTTTGCAATCAAACATATTAAGAAAGGCATAAAAATTAAACAAGCAAAAAATTTACTTGAAAGTAATGACATTTTACTGAATTTAAGAATAGTTTAAAATGTGGTATATATTAAGAAAAGAAAATTAAAAAATGGGGGTCTCTGATGTTTATTTTTAGATGTTAGTAAAATAGTGCTAATCAAAAGCTTAAATTAGGACTATTTTTTCCTTCATTTTCACAATATATTTGCTATAAATTTGATGATAGAATTCATGGCTGTTTATTTAATAGATAATTCAGGACCTGTATAAAACAGTCCATCGCACAAAATAACTCTGTGGGCAGGCTGCATATAAAAATAGGAATCCAAAATTAACATTCTTTAAATACTTCAAAAGAGAAAAAAAAGATCATTTTCTATAAAAAGAAACTTCCGCCAAATAATATAGTTCCTTAAAAAAATCTTTTGGCATGGAATTTAATCATGGAGTTTTAGCTAAATTTTATTAAACTGACATCGTAGAATCCAAATTTGATGTAAGAATTATACCATCGAATTTTTAGAAATATAGGTTAAGCTATAAATCAGCTCAAAAGCTCAGGAGCAAACCTAGTTAATGTTTTTGTTTTTACTTGAAAAATCTCATCTGAACAGAAAAAAAACTAACATTTTGATAGTCATATCGAATGATGATAAAATATATCAAGTTACTACAGAATATTTCCAGACTTTAATTTCTATGTAGTGAATAAGTTAAATTCAATTATATAGCTATAGCGAATAAATTAATGAAAATAAAACATTTTGTCAGTACATGTATACAGTAACAAGCATGCGTTTTCCTTCATTGGTATATCACGAAGCTCAGTCGGAAGAGCGCTCACTCCGTGGTTGGAAGATCGTGAGATCGAATCTCGGTTGCAATAGACCTAAGTCAAGTCGATAAAAAAGTTAAAGTTAAAGTTGCAGGTCCTTCGGATGAGACCTTAAAAATTAAGGCTCCACGTCACGACAGGCGTTGGCACCATGAAGTTCCCCCACTGCCCAAAGAATCTGAGTGCCGAGTATAGGTCTAAATTTGAAGCCCTTCACCGGTTTATAATTACGTGTCTATATTTCGATCGGGACATAAAACAACATACAATCAATCAAAACTATAGATTGTATCATTTTTCAACTTGAGTAGTGCTTATTAACAAATGAATAATTTACATTCCAAACGGTATTATTATTTTAGATTCAATATAGAGGTTAATATTATATTTGTCATTTGTTTTATCACTTTAATCACATGTTGGTTTAGATACACTCTCCATTTTCTTTAAATATTCAATCCATTGTTACTCATTAATTTCAAGAACTGGTTCTATATCCGACGCTTGGAGTGAACCTTCCACCAATGGTGTAAAAATATGTGTCTTCTTGAGTTTAATCTAGCCTGCTAAATCTTTCTTCGAAGAAAACTTCAGTAAATCTGAGAAGTAAAACTTTCCAAAAGTTATAAGAGTTATTCTCTTTAAAATTTCATGTTGTAACACATAAACTGACGACTCTGCCTGTAATACGAATTCCTTTGGTATAATCGTTTCTAACTGCAAATTTTTCTCTGCATTGAGACCACATGTTCTTAATACTTTGCTAAGCCTCTCGTTCAATTCATTAACATCTATTTTCATATCATTTACACTCATAAATACCATTATACTTTTCTTTTCCCTCTGGAGATTTAGTCATTTTCTCTAAATATGAACCTAAATAACGCAATGGTCTATACACAAATACAGAGGGACAGTTTTGAAATTCTCTACATCTTGACAACAATGTGCAAATTTCTGGGAAACCAAATGATTGAGCCTGCATCTTTGATGATGCAGTTTGTTCTACATTAGAAAACGGTGTATCTGGATTGTAATGTTCGAAGATGGTGTGAAGGATTTGAATCCGGTCTACGTCTGTTAAACTCTTATAATTTATATCAAGACAACATAAATCATTACTTTGTTCTACGCAATCCTTAATATTTCCTCAAAGTTTTCCCCAGGCTTCCTCAGTTGAAGTGATTATTAGAAATATGTCATTAGATGTCTGTATTTGTTTACAAACAGAGATTATCTTTTCCACAATATCTCTGTTTCTATATCGTAATTGTTCTCTCTTGGCAAAGGTTCTTCTACGATGATAGAGTCCTGGCATGTACTCACATCAAACTTCAATATGTCCTCTATTATAACTGGTGTTATTCCAGTTATGTACATACAAACTTCTTTGGCTGTTGTCGATTTCCCAGATCCCCATTCTCAAATCAAACACAGAATTTTACCACCATTTTTGAGAAAATCATTTGCCTTATAGAAAATTGAAGTTTTGTAGAACGGCGGTATCTCTGACAAAGATAAAAGTTTTCTTAATCAGTAAAAATTGTAAAATTTTACTTTATGAATTTATATCATAGATATTTTACAAAATTTTACAAAATTATACCTCGAGATAGTAAATGGATTTTTTCTTCTTTTAGTAATTGTGGTTTGCTCTACAATGAAAAAACTTCTAGATATAATTTCAATCAAATACTAATTTACCTAAAGAATGTTAATATTTGTTCTCGTTTATTAATAACTTTTGAAATAAAAGATCCTTCGTATGAATACAATAATCATCGTGTGATTGATATTGAAATAATATTAACCATAAACAATACTCAAGGTCAGAAAAATATTTCTTTCATGATGAACATTCAGATATATCATTACGTTACACGATCGTTCTCTATCTTTTGATATTTATTGATATTTTAAAGCTTTTTTAATATAAAGTTAATGCCGGTTTATTATCTTTGATCTTCTATATAATTGATAAATTAGATAAAGCTGAAACTTCTACTCACGTGGTCTTCTCTTTCTGTACCACAAAAGAGCCACCCCACTGAGGATTACTAAAAGGACAATTACTCCCACTGTCACGCTCAGTGCCATGATATCCGTCAACAGGGGTGAGTGTCCACCATTGATTAGAGTTGTACTTGAGCAAGCAAGTAAAAAAGAAAAAAGAACAATTTAATGATTATGTAAATCGTGGATTTCTATTTCATCCTTGATAATTTGTAAGTAATCATGAAACAAATGTCATTTTTATACAGCATAAATATTTTAGTCGATACTAATCTACTATATCCCCCAGTCCATCCATTATAAACTACGAGGGTTGTCCGGTAAATTCGTGGACAAGATCTCTTATGTGAATAATAATAGTCGGTGCGTTCTGAAATTTTCACTACTCCTTAGTACATATTTTCTGAATAAATACAGCAAATTTCATGTAGATATTTGCATAAATAAACGAATTATGAGATTTTATGTTATATATTGTATCGCCTTACAGCGCACGGATGATAACGTCAAAGTGTCTAAACCAGCGTCAGGTACCCCAAATTTCATCTTTGCGCTAAAAATAATGTTAGATAAGTCCCACTTAAATTTAGGATTTCATTGATGCCTATACTGTAGTCTCCATAAACAATTGAGAAACCAATCTCGCACAAACATGCGATCTTCTGAGGATTTATTAGTAAAATACGAACAATATTCCAACATCATTCAACAAATATACAATCTTATATTGACCCGGTCAACGTCATCAAACGTCAACATTTTTCGTGTGTTTCCCATTTCGAATGCTCAGAAAACTGCCAAAAATTAACCAAATGCTTTAACATTTTTAAGAAGACTACAAAATAAATTGTGGAATCGAATAAGGATAATTTTAAACTTAAGGTCTTCAATCCCTAATAGGAAGAAAATCAATGAAATTGAAAACATAACAGATATGTAGGCATTGAATACTCAGTTTATTTAGACATACTTCCCATTTATTACTATAAGTATGTTTAGGGGATGTGTCCTAATTCATGACCTTGAATTTGGGTAAGAGTTACCACCCCTTTTTTAATAAATAAAAAAAATCAATTAAAAAAAATTTAGCTGGTAAAAAAATTGTTTTCAATTATCATTCTATCTATAATATTTCAATGCATCTTTCATCCACAGGATTTTTTGATATTCAAATTATTTGAATTTTTATTTTGAAAAAACGCTTTTTCCCATAGACTTCAATGCAATCTTTGTTAATTAATTACTGCTTAATTAATGAACTTTTTAAAAATTTCTCGTGGGCAATCTTTTTCCACTATAAAATGCTTTAATATAATATCAGAGTATTGTGTACTTGACGGACATTTAAGGGAAGGGAATTTGGTCCCATTAGGGATTGAAATCCTTAATCTTATCTTTCTAATTCTTTTATTTCAAATCAGTATTCTCTTATAAAACCTTGGTTTTTTTTACCGTGTGCTGTAGGACCTTACCCTGTACAATTGAAGCATTATAAAATCTCTAATTTTGTCTCTATTTTATCAAAAAAATTACATTGCACTTTAATATAATAAATAAAGATTCACCGAAAATTTCAGCTTATTACTTCCATCATTTTTCGAGGAAACGCTTTGTCCGCGATTTTACCGGACATCCCTCGTATAGGTGAATTCTGTTTTAAATATATCGATACTGATGCAATTATTTGTGTCATGTTAGCATAAGTTTGCAAGCCTTGAGAAAGAAAACATCGATTATTGTACACATAGAATCATGCATTTACAGCACTATAACAGACATGAATATCAAACTTTACATGACAAGATGTTAACTCACATACTAGTAAAACATATATGCAAATATAAACATAAAAACATACGGATTAATTCGCCACAAATTCCATGCTTACATGGAAAAGAACAGAAAAAGAAACAAGATTGTGCACTAATTTAGTAAAAATTACTAAGCATTTACAAAATTCAACGAAAGGGAACAAAATTAAAACTAATTAAATTTAAAAATTGCAGAGAGTTTCTAAACTTTGCTCAATTATATTTAATTAATTTGATTTCATTCCTTATTGTTCTTGGGATATTTGTTGTACTTTTATATCTAAAAAGAGTAAATTAAACTTTGTTGATAAATTTTGATATTTGCGCTAAAAACAAAAATCATAGATAAATAAATTTTACAAGTATTTTTTTTCTCTAGAAAAATGCCCTAGAAAGGAATACAGATAGTCCTAATAAATAAGTGATAAACTCTTAGTTTTCAAATGTAGTTAATTTTTTCTTAGCTATATAACATCATTATAATTTATTTTATGTCTATTCAGAAATGGTTTTCACTTAACAAATAATAAATATTGAACAAAATATGCTTGCACAAAATGAAGACAATGATCAGTAAAAATTCTAAAATGCCATAAAGTTAAGTTTCTCTGAATTCATCAGATGTTGATCATGTGCAATGGAGGGGTAAGAATCCCCTGTGGACCCCTCTAAATAATTGTGGACTCTTGGTTTTATTATCGGTGCAATTCCTAGGCAATGTAATGTTAAAGAATTAGCGTAACAGTTTTTGACAACGCAAGTTGAAGTTGATAACAAACTTATTGCTTTAATGATCATCATCAAGTTTTGGACATAAATGATGACAATAAATAAAATACTTTATTTGACAACAAAATGTCTATGTCATGTTATCATTGAAATTAAGATATTATCACTAATGTATTTCTCCAGGAAAAAAATTCGATTATGGAAGAATTGTCAAATTCTGTGGTTTTTATAATAAAATTAGGGATAATTGAATAAATTGAAATTACATACATAAATTATATGAATGTAAATAAACTGTGTTATCTCATGAAATGTCCCTAATTTAAATACATGTAATGCCGTATTGCAGACCACAGCAAGATTTTTTTGTCATGTAGAGCCCTTCATACATTCGAAAAAATTTAGTTTTTACCAATAATTTTTCTATCATTTTCATGAGTCAATTCTCTTTTTCTTACTATACATACCCTTCCTGTACACAAACTGGATCTAAAATTCAACAATAATATAATATAGTTAATATAATGACTGAGGTAGGTAAGTCATTCAAATATTTTTTCTTCTTACCTGAATTTCATAAAAACTATGTAGAATTCAAACAGCATATTCATTTATATTTGGAAAAAAAAAACGACGTATGATTGGATTTTTATATCTAAATGTTTCTCAGTATTAATCAACTATTCCAATGGGCACTGGAATAAAAAAATGTATGTTTTACAGTTTTATTTGGTAGGAAAACATAATAGATCCTCATTGAGTTGATACTTACATTTATAAACCTCATTGGATTTGAATGCTTCACTTGGACAGTCAGTTGTCCCATTACAGGGAACAGTGTTCACATTATTGGTATCTCTGTTGTACTCCGGACAGTAATCTTGTTATAAGAAAAAGAACAAAAAAAAAAAAAAAAGAACAAAAAGGAAAAAAAAAATTCTGCTGTTAACGTAACTTTGAAGTTACTTTGTTCATTGGAACAATAAAGCCTTTATCATAAGGACTAAAAGAATAAACCATGTGTTATAACACACGTAATTAAAATACAAATTACATTGTATTAATTTATTTCGTAATTACAAACAGTCACCAGCGTTTAATCAATGTAGAGATTAGAGTCCTCAAATTTATTTACTTGCTTTCATGAACGAGTCGGACAAGTAGATCTTTACGTCAAATTAGTTTCAATGGCATCGTTGCCTAACGTATACAATTTTTAATTGTTCAGAGATTTTTCGTCAATATTTCCAACCAAAGATTAAATTAGGCAAAACAAATCTTTAGCCAAAAAATTAAGATGTCAAACATTCATTTCATAGCTAACAAGAAAACCTCAACCCGGAGCCTACCCTCGCAAAAAGCATATCTATAAATCAAGGGGAAATCCAACATCGATCCTGATGCAAATTACGTCACTTCCTTTTCGAACAGGACATAACATCCAAATTAAACACACACACACACACGCCCACCCTAAAAAAACACACCGTTTTGCACAAACACACCCTCCCTTAATCATCCTTACTTACACATCCCGTATTTTGTGCTACTATATCCTCTCACATGTTGTCTTTTCTTGCATTTCTCACCAGCAACAAGAACCTTATCTTTTTCACTCGAGAGAATAAGGGTAGCAGAAAACACAAATCTCATCATTCCTAATTATTAAAAAATGTAGGAATATTTCATATACCTTTTAGTGCAATAACCCATATGTACATTTAATTGGATTAGTTGAACTAGCGTTTAGGAACCAGGACTGAAGACCAGAAACTGATAGCAAACTACATTGTATTGTCAAAGTTTGAAATCAATATAATTCAGTATTTTTGTTTTATTCGTATGTTTGTGTGCTGTTTAAAGTCCCTCTCAAGAATTTTTCACACATATTGAGAGGTGGCCACTTGTAGACGATGCGCTGAAATATTTAACGTATGCTTGGCACTCAGGGCCATTGATCAGTGAGGGATTTTTTTGTGCCAATACCCACTGCGACACGGGACAACGGTTAATACAGTCTCAATAAAATATCCAAATATGAAGCAGATGTGCTAGACTCTCTGGTGTTTTATATTTGAAGTTGGCTGAAATATTTCCGATCGACATTGAATGGAAGTAACTATTGTTAATCCGTCGATACATGTACATCTTAATGTCGATCGAGTAGAAGTTCACAGCAAGTAGTTCTTTTTATTCTTATGTAGTTTTTTTTTTATAGATTCTACTTCAGGTAACATTGGTCTACTTGTAGTTGCGCAATTGGTTCCCATGGGAATACCAGAAGACTGTTGTAAAACCTGATTCCTAAAAACTACCATAGACATTTTCAATCAGGAAAATCAAGTATCATTTTAATCTAAATTTTAGCGAACTCGGTGTATAATCAGTGAATTAATTTCTTACTAAACTAATTTCGCATATGGCTAAGGACTAGTTAAAGATATTTATGAATTCGATTTTTATGATAAAAAGAAGCTATCTTTGATGTCACAGAGCCCGAACTTAAATCTATCGTGGGTAATGGTTGTGTAAAGTGACGAAATGTCGTACGATTAATTTTCTGTATTTTGGTAAATATTGGTGTTATTTTTCCATTTTTTCTTTTAAAGTTCCTTGGAGTTTTTTTTAATATTCACATCTGAATAACACCACTTATCAAATTTCTGTTGTTAGTTCTCCTGAAGTTTCACCTCTACTGCTTGTGCACAGCAAAGAAAGAGGCTTGGTAGAACACTTACCAAAAACCCGCTGTGTTCATATGTTTGTAAGGATTTTATGGAGTTTTGACTTCCAGTATAGGTGTGAGAAGGCCAGCAATAAAAAACGATTTATTTGATGTACTCCGACCGACTAGTCAAAATTGCTCCTTCCCAATCATTTTTTCATCATTTTGATTTTTTTGCAGTTTCTATAGTAATTATAATTTCTCTAGAATGCTTTTTAATTGAAAATTTTTAGCAATAAATTATAAATCAATATATCTATCCAGTGTGTAATGAAAACATCAGAAAATTTCTGATTCTGTAATTTATATGACGGGTATCATTTTGCCCAATTTTGTGAAGCAAAAAAATATCCTACCTACCTACTAACCTTGAAAAATGTGTATTAATTCAATGTTCATTTTGATTGTTGGGAATATTTTAAAAATAGAACTGGCATATACTGACACTTATGAAGAATTTACTCCTTTAGCAATAGATTTATATGTGTAAGTTGGATTACCAATTGAGAAATTAAATCTTAGTCATCTAAAATTCAAATAATGAGCCCTACGAACATGAACAATGTGACCTGCTTTGAAGAGATAGGACAAGTACATACTTTTCAAAATAAATTCTTATTTTCACTTCTGTAGTAGGAAAGATTGAATGGTAAATGGTTTTTATCTAGTTAAAACTTTTAACGATTCGTAAAACGTGTGGTAATTAATTATAGATACAGGGAGCATGATCCCTTTACACAACTTTCCGCTTAGTGTACTACCCTCATACAATGCACTTGCAGCGCAAGCGCTTTGCTTCGAGTCCATCCACTACTAAGATAGAAGACATACAGACAACTCAGATCAGACCCATCCTATCATGTAAACGCCTGTAATGATAACACCTGTATTAAGTTCTATCACTTTATTATTAACACTTTGAGCACAAAAACACACATTTATTACAATCAACATAATTGGAGATAAAAAGGCCGCAATTTTTTGTGGGGGACGGGGGATACCTACAAATGTACCAAAATAACCATGGGCACATGGGGGGCTGAGTGTAAGCACAAGTGCCCGATCCCAACGGTCACCACGTTCTGGACCAGTGAATGCGGGACTGCCCTTCTCCCTGTCTCCAGCGCCACCTGGTGTACCCACTTACTTTACCAGACTGTGGCCTCCCCCGCTTGTGCGAGGTGGAGGTGGAACCAGCCATGACATGCCATGAACCACGGATGTTACCATATAATGTTACTTTAGACAACTTATGTGCTACATGTACTTATGTATTACATACCAAAACGCCCCCCTGCTTTGAGGCAGGGTGGGGAGACAACCAGGTTATGGGGCCACTTGATCCCAACATACACAAAAGTATCCCCCAGTCCCCATCCCCCCATCCCGGAATTGCGACAATAAAAAAGGGAGTTAAAGGATAAATTCCCAAACATGATTTTCCCCATTTATAATTAACCAGGCTTCCCCTGTTATAGAAGTGTCCATGGTAGACAATTTACACTACATGCACTAGAAAGTCTAATGAACTGGTATAAGCGTGTATTCCTTGATGGTCATAGGCTCTGTGCTGCTCACATTTTCCTACACTGATGGATGCCTGCTATCCCCATGGATCCATATTCCAGTTTCCTGCAAGATAAAACAAAACACAGCAGAAAAGAAAACTCTTTAATTTATAATTATTAATGACCTTTCAACTATTAATTACAGGGGTGGGTGGGCTGGGAAAAAAGCGTCTGATTTCAACAATTTGCTGGTTTGAAAAGGGGGATAACTTCCGGTGCACCTTTATAATTAATTCGTACACAGTTTGACTCGTAATACGACTTTGTATATTCCTGATGTAATAACTTGTGTACACTTCGTCCCAATTAACCAAACATTAAAACCCTGTCCTAAATTAATAATTTACTATTTGATATAAAATCGAATAATCTTGATTAATTATAGATACAGGGAGCATGATCCCTTTACACAACTTTCCGCTTAGTGTACTACCCTCATACAATGCACTTGCAGCGCAAGCGCTTTGCTTCGAGTCCATCCACTACTAAGATAGAAGACATACAGACAACTCAGATCAGACCCATCCTATCATGTAAACGCCTGTAATGATAACACCTGTATTAAGTTCTATCACTTTATTATTAACACTTTGAGCACAAAAACACACATTTATTACAATACCCGTACGAAACAGTCCGGGTGGCTTAGACACGGCTTAGGCACGAATTCCTTTCCAGAAACCCGTGCTTATAAAATTCCTGCTCCTATGTAAAGTATGTATGGAAAGCCGTGCCTGAAAGTAGTCGAGGCACGGACACGGCACGGGATATTGGCCGAATTATTTAAATGAGATCACACGGTTTTCGAAAATTCGTGTCGGAAAGCCGTGCTTGTTTCCATATATGGACTCACGGATTCTTTAAACCCGTATCTGAAACCCGTGTCCTTTTCCATATATGGAGACACGGATTTTTGGAAACCCGTGTCAAAAAAGCCGTGTGACATACCATATATGGAGTCACGGGATCTGTGCTTTTGTCTAGATCTAGGTCAGGGCTTGTAGAGAATCTCCTGATTTAACTGCATGTGAATGCCAAAATGGTGACTGAAACCAAACTTCACAATGTTTTATGTTATCATTATGCTTAGCTTTAGAATTTTAAAAGTTGAAAATCTTATATAAATGTGTCCTGATATACTTTCTGTTAAAGATTAAGATTGCTTTATCAGTTACAATCCATGCTAGTTTTTAACTAAGAATTTAACTGATAATGTACAATTCTGGGAATTGTAATTTTATCTTAGTTTGGACAATCTGAGAAAGAATTTAATTTAAATAAACCTTTTTGTAGCACAGTAATGACACATAAAATTTTGGGGATTAATTAGTGAGAGTACAACTAGAGTCATTCAAATGAACAGAGATGCAGTGTTTCATCATGTTCAATAACAACATTGCAAATAGTACAGAAAGATCATGAAAATTGAAAATGAACTACTATTTATTCTATCTTAGACTTACTGCATTTAGTTTAAAAGTGAGAAAATCCTCCAAGACTGACATAAATACAATTCCAACTGACATCTATTAGTTTAATATCCTTTAACTAGAGTAAAAAAGACACATTCTTAGCTCATGACCATGA